CATTGTAGCTGAAGCTGAAGCTGATGTGGAGATCCGCCGTGTGACCCGGGAAAGGGAGAGAGAACAGGCCAGAAGACCCCGCGAAACAGGCAGGTACGTGAAGACACGGGAGGACACTGTGGCTGAAGCTGAAGCTGATGTGGAGATCCGACGTGTGACCCGGGAACGGGAGAGACAAGAGGAAGCCAGGAGACCCCGTGAATCAGTGAGGAGGACTGAGCGTATACTGGAGGATATTGTGGCTGAAGCTGAAGCTGATGTGGAGATCTGCCGTGTGACCCGAAAAAGGGACAGAGAGGAGGAGGCCAGGAGACCACAAGAATCAGCCAGGTTCCAGAGGATTCAAGAGGACATTGTAGCTGAAGCTGAAGCTGATGTAGAAATTCGCCATGTTTCCAGAGAACGGTTGCATGAAGAAAAGGACAGGAGACCACGTAAATTGGTGACGAATGCAAGGACTCAAGAGGGAACTGTGGCTGCAGCTGAAGCGGGGATCTGCCATGAAGAAGCAGAGCAGAGAGATCGCCTCCATAAACTTGAGGAACCTGTGGAGGAGAGGAGGACTGTACGGGCACAAGTGAGGGAAGAGGCCATTGTAAAGGAAAGGAGACTTGATCGTCAGCGGGACCTGGAAGTAGAGCAAAATAGATTCCCAGTACATGATGATCAGGGAAGAAGGCAGGACAGACGTCTCTACCAAACTGTGGACATTGATAGCAGAGACCTCGTCCCCCGTGGAGAAGTGCCATCTGTCAGTGATGTGAGGGTCCGCTATATTCCCTCTGACCCTGATGTACGCCCAGAGGTACAGACCGTCCCTGAGCCCTGTGAGCCTCAGACCATTGCATATTTGATCCATGTTATCCAGAATCTGAATGATCCCGAAGCTACCACTTATGAGATCATCTGTCAGCAGTCCAATGACTCAGAGCAGCCTGTCTGTGTAAGGAAATGCTATGTTTCACCACAGCCACCAGCTGGGCCGTGCAAAGACAGTAGTGTCCTGGAGCCTGAACCACGGCATCTGCCATCTTCCAGTTCCCAGGAAAATGCAAGGGAGCTCAAGGAGCCTAGGAAAGGTGAGACTCGGGAAAGGTCTGCAATAGCAGTAAAGGAGAGGGCTCAGCACGCTTCTGCCCCTGAGTTGGAAGGCTTGAAGGGTGACACCAGCCAGTCCAAGCCCAGGGAAGACAGGAGGGACCACCAAAGTCCCCAGCTCCATGATGTGGAAGAGAAGAATCATGAGCCAGAGGGTGATGGACCAAAAGCCACTGGAGAGGAAGTCTCACAGGAAGATGATTCCCAAGGAAACAAAGACAGGGAGGCCAAGAGCCAACCACCTCCATCCCGGGATCCAGAGCTGCAGGAAGCTCAGAAGCAGGGCCAGCGAGCTGCAGAAGAGCCACGTCACCAAAAGGACGATGCTGGCTGCTGCCACGAGGATGCAGAGCTCCCCTCACCAGAGAGGAGCCGCCAGACACGAGAAGAGGAAAACAGCAAAAGGAGCTCCCAGCAAGAAGTTACCACTCATCCTCAACGTGAGGAGGAACACAGTCCCAAGGCCCCACAAGAACCAAGCCGTCCTACGAGGGATGAAGCCAAGGCACCCTGAGGGGCTATCCCCTCTGTAGCACCCACGGGGCTCCTCTGAGCATCTTCTGCCCTACACTTAGGATGTGACCACATGGTGACATAGAAGTGCTCGACACAAAGGGGTGCTCAGCAAGGTGGTGAGAGGCTTTAGGGATTCCCGTCCTGACAAACCCTCAGCAACACAGACAGGTAGAGAGCTATGCCAGGATCAGAAGCTCCTGCCTGCCCTCTTTATGCCTATGTTGTCCGCGCAGTCTGAGCCCTTGCATCACGGAGGCTTTAAAGTGGCGAAGTTCTGCCCCATTGCAGTATTTAGTTAGTTTCCTGCTCTAATTGGATTCCTTGGGTCTTAGTCTTTTGCGTTCCTGTCATCTCTTCTGCCCTGTGACATGACAGCTCTGCAGTTCAGTGCTCTGTCTCCCTCGCCCCGTGGCTGGCTCTGCTGCTTATCAGATTCTACTGTGCACTGCACAAACAAAAAAATCCCATTCACTTGATCGTACTCCTGGAGCCTGAAATTCCTCAAGGCTGGGAAGACACCTCTGCAGGCTCGAAGTTTTTGGTCACACCTTTCTGCTCTCTCGGCAGCTGAGCACAATCCCAGCCCCAGCATCACGGAGGCTTTGAAGTGGCGAAGTTCTGCGTGGATACCACAGGGAAATGGTGGTGGAGGGTGCATTGGGGTTTCTTCTTCACACTGATGTATTGCATGAAAAATCATAATAAATAGCTGATGACTGCACTGCCTGCTGCTGTCTTCATCTGTAATTTATACAAGGGCTCAGTCTGGTGGGAGGGTGTCTCAGTTCAGATCTCTCCTTGTTTCAGGCACCGAATCCAGACAGGAGCTGCTAAAATCACACCAAATCCTCCTACTTTGCTTTGGTGGGTCCTACTCACGTGGTTTGATCTGAGATACACACCAGGTCACACAGCAAGGAGATCTCTCACCAGACCCTGCCCCATCCAGCTGCATTGCTCTGCTCCCCACCACCCTCCTTTGCACACGACTGCTGTGTGACCCAGTGACAAACACAGCAGCACAGATGGGCTGTCTGCACACACTGCCAATGCCTCCATAGCAAACACAGCAGCAGCAGAAACCTCCAATGACCCCATATTACAGACAGCACTGGGCCAGGCACAGCCCTGCTGGGATTTCCTCTCGCAAAGGTGGGAAATGGCACTTGGCCCAGTTTTCATTTTCCATGTTCAGGACACAGAGGGAAGCGCAAAGCACAGGGGGAAGTGTGTGAAGCCCGCAGAGCAGCAGCCTTCCTGTTCAGGTCTGTTCTGTTTGCAATGAGGCTGTTCCCAATTTAGAAGAGCTTGGAGTTCGGGGAAAAGAAAAAGCAACTTCTATTTTAATTATTATTTCCAACGTGAGGGGCAATAAATGAGGGAAATCAGGTGGGGGAAGGGCCCTTCCCCACCCATTTCCTGCCTGCTCTGAATTTTCCCCTGCTCTGAATCATAGTTTCCAGCAGGAATTCCTGAGCAAGCGTGGGTGCACCCAACATGCCTGAGCAGCTCCCGGTGTTCCCCCTGTGCCCATCCGACCCCACAGCCCCATCCTAGCTCTAAAGCAGCCCCATTACACCCCAGAGAGGAGCACATAACACAGGCAGAGTATTCTGGGCAGTGAGAAGAGACAGGGAGATGGGGCAAGCTGCCTTCAGGGATGCCCAAAGTGAAAGCAAACCCTAAAGATGATCAGCTCACATCAGCAAGGAGCAGCGGGGCAGCACCGGGAGCTCAGTCCTAAACTTGGGGAAGAAAAGAGATACAGAGGTGTAAAAAGAGGCATAAGAAAGAAAAAGAAGAAAGAAAAGAAAAAGAGAGAGAGAGAAGAAATGGAGAAAACAAAATGGAAGCGCGATAACAGCAAAAACTACAACGCGGAAGGGAAGGGAGGGGCCCGGGCCGACGTGGGGACCGCAGGCACGTCCCGATCCGCCGTTACAGCCGGCGATTGCCCAACGTGGCCCCGGGGGGGGGCTGAACCAGGGCCGGGCGCAGCTGGGCGAGGCTCACACCGCCCTCAACTGCTGCACAACGCTGAGCACCGCACCGCGAACACCGCACCCAGACCCCCGGCCCCCAGCCATGGTGAGTGAGCGCAAGGGGGGGGGGGGGGGGAAGAAGCAGAAGCGAATTGGGATGCGTGGCGGCACTGCGAAAAGTGCCAAAAGCTGAGCTGAGGAGCTCAGGGAGGAGCCTGGGCACGGGGAGGAGTGCAGAGGATCCCTCGGGTTGCAGCAAGCTTTCTCTTTGCTTCATCTGCTCTCTCGGACCCTGTGCTGGGGGGCTGCAGTTCTGGTCCAAGGTGGGGGATACAAAGAAACCGAGAGCCGAGGCAGAGGATGGAGGAAGCTCCGTGGTGCAGGTCCGTCAAATCGGGGTGGCAGTGCAGGATGTGGCAGCGAGGCCGGAGGAGGCTGTGGTTGGAGAGGGAAGGGCAGATTCCACCCAGCCCTGCCCGCAGGATTGGAGCCACAGGATGGGGGAAGAGCCTCACATCCCCCTTCTGCCCATTGCTTTGTGCCTTAACCTCATCCTGCTGGAGCAGCCCAGCTCCCCAAGTTCTGGCTGCAGGTGGGTGCCAACCCCATCGCGTTTTTCACCAGTGACTCAGAGTTTCTGCTCTGACCAGACAGCGCAAGGGGAAGGGGGGATGGGGAGAAGGCAAAGACAGACATGCAGGCTCAGCCAAGTAGTACTGGAGAGCACAGAGGAAGGCAGCAAGACTTCAGGAAGAGGCAGCTGCCCTCACCCCTATGTCAACTGATGGTTCCCCAGGGAAGTTTCCATGCTGCCAGAGTTCCTAGGAGCCGCTGCAGCCCTAGAGAGGCCACCACTCCCTCCACCACTCCCATCCCTCCTCACCACAGGGCTGTGCTAAGCAAGAAAGAAATGAATACCAAAGAAAAATGCAGCTGGACAGGTTGGGCACAGAAAAACAATAGATGGCAAGTGGCCCTGAGCCTTTTTCAAGGAACCACAACCCTTCTGCAAAGGCAGAGCAACCTGCAAGCATACTCTGAACCCTTTTTCTGCTTCACAGTCCAAGGTTTCCCCTACTGAGACAGAGCGCTGCATAGAGTCACTGCTGGCTGTCTTCCAGCGGTATGCAGGGCGTGAAGGAGACAACCTCAAGCTCTCCAAGAAGGAATTCCTGGCTTTCATGAACACCGAGCTGGCTTCCTTCACAAAGGTGAGTGAAAGCCAGGTCAGGAGGCTCCCACGGCAGTGAAAAACCTGTGTCTGTGCCATAGAGTGGAGGGGAAGGCCCTGACTTCCACAAGCAGAGCACAAGCTGACCAGCACTACCCCAAATTGATGCTGCTCCTTCTGTCAAACACAGCAGTTGTGGGTCCATACCTGGGGGTGCCTTTCTCTCCAAGCAGACATTGATCCCTTCCTTTGGTCTCTTGCAGAATCAGAAGGACCCTGCTGTTGTGGACAGGATGATGAAGAGGCTTGATATCAACAGTGATGGGCAACTGGACTTCCAGGAGTTCCTGAATCTCATAGGAGGCATTGCAGTGGCCTGCCACGATGCACTGCTTGTTCAGCCTCCTCGCCCCTAGTCCCAGCAGCCTCATCTCACCCCCACTGTGAACATTCCTCAACCAAGACCCTTGCAAATGTGGAACAAAGGCCACAACATCCCCACTCCTTGTTTTTATGAATAAAAGTTGAAAATCCTATCCTAAAGCCTTACTTTATTTCAGAGAGAATACCAAGCAACTAGTCCAGCCCCAGAGGGAGCAAGAGCTCTAGGCTGTCTCTGCTGATGCAAGAACACGTGTTCTCACTCATCTCTGCTCCAAAGTGCAATCTGCCCAACAAGGATGATCCTCCAGTCTGCTGCCTACCACAAGGAAAGGCACAGCAACACCAACTGGTACAACTGCATGAGGTAATGAGCATGAAGATAGCTGGAGCACAGGCAGTAGCAGTTGCACACTAAGAATAAGCAGAAGCAACTCCTGCCAGCATGATTATTTCAGTACTGTATTTTTTATTGTTTGGAAATAGAGAAAATTGTTACCGAGCAGCCTAACAACACAAAGGGGTGGGGTGGGTGACATGGAAAGAGGAAGTATAATATAGTATCTTAAAAGCTAAGCTACAGAACAGGAAGATCAAGACAGTCAATTTACTTTATTCATGTTAGAGGCAGATTATGCAGAGAAATGCTGCTAGGACAACAAAACAAAGAGTCAACACAAGCACTTGGGTGCTGAGCTGCTCTCCAGTTACTTCTGAGAGTGCTGTGCTGGCCCCAGTTCCAGACAGTGCCACACTCCTATGAGAGTCAGGCTCAGCTGCTTCTGCCATCCATGTGCTCCAGGATCTTTAACGAGCCCAACACTAAAGAGTGAGAGAGGCAAGCAGTGCCTCTTGAGCAGTTCCTATTGAGTACACTGTAAGATATGCAGGTCTCAGCAAGAGCCACATTATACCCTCTGAGAAAGATGTGACTGGAAGCAACGGTACACAAACACAACATCAGCTGGATCTGAAAGGGGATTCCAAGTTATTACTACTTCGAAGCAGCAGAGAGCCTCACTACAGCATTCTTGGGTGGGGAAGAGCAGTTAAGACACAGCACAGCTACGGTGAAGGGACACGACTAGAAGCTGGAATGGTGGGAGGTGAAAGTTTCCACAACATGCTGTGAAACAGGGCCATCTCCCTCTGAGCTCACACCTCCCAGGGACTGGCACACACCTCAGCGGAACTGGAGGGGGCTGATCCGCAGCCCAATGACATCTTTGCCAATCTCTGTCACCTGAGGAATGAAAGGGTGATGATTAATGCTTAAAAGGAACAGAATAGCCCAACCCCACAGCAGCACTGAGAGCCTGGATGGTTCTCATAATGAACTCTGCTGATCCCTGCCATGTCAGGCCCCGAAGACAGCATCTGAACTACATTGTATTTCGTAATTCCCAAACTGCTCCACCTCCCAGTGTCAAGTCCTCTGCCCTCCAACATGATCCAAAACCCAAA